CAGGGACAGCTGTGAGTTCTGGTATTTGACAGGTCATTGTCCTGCCTCCTAAGGATGCAGAGGCTTTTTATGCTTGTGAACTGCTCCCCATGCTTTCTTCCATCTAGACTCCTCATAGTATGTACGATGCCTCTGTGTGTCTCAAGAGAATGACATTTTATCACCTCTGTAGGCAGAATATAATCTCCAGAAAGTGTTCTGTAGCCATATTTTGCTGCTTGAATTCTGCCGGCTTTGTTGTCTTTGCTGATGCCTTTAGGGTCCGAGCCTCACCTACTGATGTTCTGGTTTTTTGAGCCTTGGTGTTCTGAGCAATGTGTTTTGCCAGGCAGCTGATGTCATATTGTTCCTTTGAAGGCATCAGATGCTGCAACTTGAGAGCCTGACTACTTCTTCACTTTACTGTATAGAATGATCAGTCTTCACTGTTGATTGGCCTCCAGTAGCACAGCAACATTATTCCTCTAGGCCTCAAGAAGGTAATGAATGCCCTTCAACCTCTTAATGCTTTTTCTTCCCCGTCTCAGTTACCTGCACCAGACTGCTAATGTTTGAGTTCCATAGGTGATGTTGATACCAATAGAGGTAACCGTGACACTTCAAGCATTAATGCACCAGGATCTGATTTTCACAAGTGCAGGGATCCTGCAGCTTTTGTTTACTTCATTTGGACTTGGGAATTCTTTGTAATTCTAAAAATGGACCCCACAGCTTCTCCTGGGGAAAAGTCAGAGAAAGAGCTGAGACCCTGCTTTGTGCAGCTTCCAGATTAGATTTGCAAATGGATCTGGTGATTTTGAAAGCTTATGTCCTTAAAACCCTCTAAAGGGCCTGGCATTTTTGTATATAATTTCTAGAAGTCAGAACTGTCCACAGGGTGTTAAGGTTTGCGTACTAAAATTAGGCAGTTCAAGGTCTTTGAGTCCCTTTTGGATAATATTTTCTTGTTTGAAAAGCTTCCTTTTTTTGAATTTTGGGGTAGCAAAATCAAAAAAACTGCAAAATGAACTCTCCTTCTCTCACTTTATTGTTACTTCAGTAAGAAATGCATTTTTATTCTATTGTTTAAACTATTTGTTTATGACCATCAGTTTTCTACATAGTTTAGAGGAGGTTCCTTATTTGCTGAGAAGATTGTGTCTGCACATAACAGAGTTCAGGGAGGGGGACAGGTGGTAAGAGCAGAAAGGGCACTGAGCTGAACATTGCCATGCCAACTTTGTGAACAGATGAGAGAAGATGCAGGTTCACATCCTGGCAAATACAACAATTTAAGAAGAATGTTAGTTCATTAATGTTTAAAAGCAGTTTTCAATAGTTTATGTGCAACACAATTCAGTTGTGTAGTCCTGGCTGCTTTCAGAGTGGTAGGTATTACTTGTCAGTGTCAAACCTTTTAGTCTTCATTGCATCCACAGCTCATTATGGGGGATCATAGCTTCAGGTGAGGTAACTTGATTCATTTATGCACAAGCTGGGCAAGAAACCCATAAATATTTAAAAGTGATGTATATTTACTAGTGTAATATTGCATATAGAATTAGTTGTCTGGTCTGTCTGCCAGCATTTCAAAGCTTGCAGTTTAATTACCATGTTACCTAAGTCTGATGGCCAGTGTTTTTAACGGATTCATGCTTTTGCCCTTTTCTCCAGCTTCTACTTAAGCTCTTCTGAGCTCCCTTGTGACCCAAATGAATTGAAATCTTGTCAGCTTGGCGCACTGACAAATGAAAACAGGTGACTAACGTTGATTGTCTTTTGATATTTCATACTCTGCTTGCCAAGAATGTCACATGTACTGCGATTATTTAAAATCCTACACACTGGGGATAGTCATGTTTTTCATAGAGATTGATTGTAGTCAGTTGACAAAGAATATAATCTTGAGCAGTTGCTCACCAGTAGCTACCCCTTCTTATATTTACTTAGGTTAACAAGAAATAATGAAATAATATCACAAGGGACCATTTAGTCATATGGTCTGATCTCCTCTGTATTCTATGTAATTAAATTTTACACATGTACAAGCACTGAAGGCAGTAGCCTGCATCTGGTTAAAACCGGTCTTCCAGAAAGACATCTCCTTGTCGGGAGCCATAAAGCCATTAAAATTTTTTGGTGTCTTTGTTAGCTTGTTCCAGTGATGTATTTTCACTGTAAGAAGAAAAACTGTGTGCTTCATTTGAATTTGTCTGACTTCAGTTCTGCCACAGTTTCTTGTTATGGCATTCTCCACTAGATTAAAGAGCCCTTCAGAATTCAGTACTTTTTTCTCCACAGAGGTACTTATATGCTGTAATCAAGTCAATCTTTTTGATACGATAAACAGATTGAGCTCTTTAAGTCTCACTTAGCAGCATTTTTCTTCAATTCTCAAATCACATTTTCAGCTCCTAATCTGCCCCCTCTACAATTTTTCAACATTTTTTTTTCAAAACATGGGCAGGAACACAGTATACTAGATTGGTCTCATCAGTGATAACAGAGATAAAACTCTCTCCCCCTACCACCCTGATGCAGATTAATCCTTCCTGTTACTCGTGTCAGAGTGAATGTTTACGATGAGTTGGTGACTATAACCCCTAAATCTTCTTCAGCAAGTGCTGTCTCTCTCTCAGTACGTAGCACCTACAATCCTTCATGCTTGTTACGGGGATTTAGTTATAGTAAATGTAGTTCATTTGACAAGGCCCAGTTATTCAAACTACTTCATGCGGTTGCTTGGTCCTTATTACCTTTACCATTTCTCTCTTCTTTGTGTCATTTTCAGATGTGACCCCCTTTTCACAGAAACATACTCGTTCGATGAAGGTTCTTTACTGTCAGCTACTTTTTGCCATCAGTCATTTAGGCAAGTCTTAGTCAATTTAGCATGTGCTTTAATGTTAGCATGGGATACTACATTTTCTTTCAGACTATCTTAAAAGCCTAAAGCATCAATATACACTTACCCAAATGAGCAATCTCATCAAAGAAAGATGAGATTGAATTTAGAGAAGTTCGATTAGACCTGGTCTTTCTAAAAAAGACTGGAATTATTTCTATTCCTGTATTTGAAATGTTTTTAAATTACATCTATTATTCCCATTATTATTTGGGGTTCTGATATTGTCCTGTATTTTCCTGTCATTGCAATTACCCTTTTTTGACTACTGGTATAACTTTAGCACCCTTTTGGAACTTCACAAGTTTTCCAAAGTTTACTAAAAAAAGCTGAAAGAGCCCAAGTATCTATTCTGGGACTGGAAGTAACAGTTATCTAAGTTTACTTATAAGACAATGGTCATGAATCCTATCTTTCTTAATTACTAGCTGGCTGGAACAGTTCTTCATAGTCCTCTTGAGATCCATCTACTTGTTTCTTTTGTAGCACAGAAGTACTTATTGAACATATTTACATTTTCCACATGAGCACAAACCCACTTACGAACTACATTCATTGATGGGCCAGTATCACCACTGGGTTTTCTTTTATTCCTAACACACTTAAAACATCCCATTTGTCTAGCTTTCACAACCACAGATTTTTTGCCTGACTATTAACTTCCCTTATAAATTTTCAGTATTGTAACCTGTAATTATATCAACTGTAATTTATACAATTTCTTTGTTTTCCACTTTATTTCTGACTGCCACCTTTGAGCTTTTATGGGAAAGTTGCAGCCTTCTGTGATTGCAAATTCATAGTAGTTTGGCTGTTTTATGGATTCTTTAAGAGAGTCCCTTTTTTTTGATGTTCTCACCATTTTGCTCTCTAAGTTCCCCTTACTGTTTTTCTCGGTTTCTGGAAATTAGCTGTTTTGAAGCAGCAGAAATATGTAGTTTTAATTGTGGCTGTCTTCATTTACCCATGAGGAATGCAATCAGGCCACGATCACTTGTTCCCAGGCAACTACGAACTTTTAATTTAGTGATATCTACCATTTTTATCAACCACAATGAGGTTCACATACTTATCTCTTGCAGCGTAGGATATCTATTGGACTACAAAATTACCTTCTGCAAGTTGGAGAAGTTTTTAATGACTTAGTAGAGGCTGCAGTTGAAGCTAGAAAAGGGCTACATTTGTTCCCTCACAAACAAGGAAAATTAGGATATAATATAGAATTGTAGATTGGTTTGGGTTGGAAGGGACCTTAAAGATCATCCAGTTCCAACTGGGCAGGGACACCTCCCCCCAGACAGGTTGCTCAAGGCCCCATCCAGCCTGGCCTTGAACCCCTCCAGGGATGGGGCAGCCACAGCTTCCCTGGGCAACCTGTTCCAGTGTCTCACCACCCTCACAGGAAAGAATTTCTTCCTAATATCTTATCTAAATTTCCCATCTTCCAGTTTCAAGCCATTACCCCTTGTACTACCACTGCATGAATGAGCATTCAGTTCACGCCTGAATATTTCACCAGCTTCCAAAAATCTTTGCCAAACTTTAATCAGGACTTAATTTTAATGGAGGACACGAGCTTTAGGGGCCTTTGGTAGCGAATTTTTGGACCCTTTCAGATCTTCCTGTGACGACAGCACTAATGCCTTTTGTAGAAAAGGAATGAGTATTAAATTAAGAAGGCCCGTGTGGCGCTGGATGGGATAAACGGGAGTAAGGAGGTCAGCCACAACTCACCGGGGGGTCCTTACAGCAGTCCTGAGAGGGGCTGGCAGGGGTGTCCTGTCCCGCAGCCAGCCGCCCGCTCCCCGAGGAGGCCTTTAACCCACCGGGTCGGGCTTTTGAGGCATCGAAACAAACCTTACCCCAGCGGCCGACGGCTGCCAACCCCCGCCTTGGGGAATAAGGGCTGCCGGGCATTAAAAACACTTTCCTTTGTGTACCGCAGCCGGGCGGGGAAACCCTACGGGCGGCTCCCCGCCCTCCGGTGAGTGAGCCCGGCCGTGCCCCGGTAACCCCCCTCCCTTCCCCGCCGGAGGAGGCGGCTGGCGGCGGGCCAGCGGCGCTGAGGGTATTAATAGGCGGCCGGGAGGCGGCGGCTGCGGGTGTGCGGGGCGAGGGCTGCGGGCTCTGCTCGGCTCGGCACGGCACAGGACGGCTCGACGCGGGAGCGGCCCAAGGCCAGGCCGGGGAGGTGCCTGCCGTCCGCAGCCGGCTCCCACCGCCACGCCGAGATGGAGGGTAAACGGGGCCAGAGCCGCCTCTTCCCTCCCGCCGCGCCTCAGGCTGGGCGGAGGGGCTCGGGGAAGGGAAGAGCCTCGGTGTCTGACCCCCTCGGGGCTTTCGGTGCCTCCCGGAGCTGAGTCGCCGCGGCTACCGGCGGGGGGGGGGGGGGCGGCGGGGCGGGGCCAGAGCCGCCTCTTCCCTCCCGCCGCGCCTCAGGCTGGGCGGAGGGGCTCGGGGAAGGGAAGAGCCTCGGTGTCTGACCCCCTCGGGGCTTTCGGTGCCTCCCGGAGCTGAGTCGCCGCGGCTACCGGCGGGGAGGAGGGGGCCGTCGGGGCAGCGGAAGGAGGAGGCAGGGGGTCGGTTGCCAGCCGAGGTGCGGGAGGGGCAGGGCTGCCTTGGGGAAGGGCTCCCAAACTTCCCCGGTGGCGTGTGGAGATGAGGAGAGAGGCCTGTAGAAATACCTATGGAATATCTATAACCTCCTTCTGTTAAACTGTGGCAATTTCATAGCCAGAACTGTTTAATAAGGTACAGAGTTTGCCACGTGTTATAAAAGCATTGCAGCACTATATTGCTAAAATATGTAGTCTTTAAAGAGTGGTGCCTTTTATATTTAATTTTCTTTCGGGTGCCAGAATAAAACAGACATGGCAGTATGATGGCTTGCCTTGGAGCGAAAGGTCTGAGGAAAGAAGAAGTTAATCTTGTTTTATAAATCTCTTATCGAGCTAACTTGTTTACCAGAGTTAACAGGAAGGCCTTGTATCATTATGTAATGAAAAATAAAAGCTGACCGTATGTTTATGAAAGTTGGCGACGTGGAAGTCCGATGGCTGCTACGGGCATGAGACTTCTGTGGAAGCATTGAAAATGAAAAGAGGCTAAATTGTGGTATGCCTTGCCTCAGGTATGCCACGATTTGCAAGGTTAGGAAATGAGGAATTCCTTTGTCTTGTGAGTGGAAACTGGTTGCTAAGTCAGAAAACAGTAAAAGTGCTTGCAGATGGCACTCCTCTCCCTCCCACAGGGTCAATATTCTGGATAAGAGTTTCTCCACTTATACCGAATTGGGAATCTTCTATGAAAGCAGTCAAAAAGGCTTGGAATCTAATATGTTTCTTTTAGTTTTACCCTAAGAATGGATAAAATACTAACAAAAGGTTTTACTTGTAGGTTGAGAAACTCTCCTAGCTTGTCTCCCAAAAGTTCAGTGTCTCATGTTGGTGAGTGACATTAGCACTCAATCAGTGGAAAATCTCCAAATGGAATTAGTATATTTGAAATTGAGAGAATGTAAGAACTCCAGAAACTTAATATTTAAGGACAAAAATTACTTTTTTCTTAATTTGCTGTAAATTGAATGAGCTTTGTAAAGTTGCATGACAACTGTAGTATGTAGTAGATATATTCTAGGGTGCTTAAGGCTGTACCGTGCAAGTACCAGCAGCAGTACTGTATGAGTGGCAGCAGCTCCAAAAGTGATCCCCTTCAGAGGCAGCTTATCTTAATATCCTCTGCCAAGACAACATCAAAGATAAGCTTCTTTTAGTCACTGAGATCCTGGTGTTCCCTTCAGCTGAGTAAGCGTTCTGGTTCAAATATTGTCACAAGTATGCTACCAAAAGTCTGATTTCCTTCCAAAACCATTGGGTTATGCTGAGAAGACGGAATGAGTCCAGTGATAATGTGATCCCCACCCTTGTTGCTGCAGGTTTTTTGGTACCTCTGCCTTCCTCATGAGTAGCATGTATAATTTCTGTCTGCTTTCCTGTCATCAGAAATTCATTAGTCTCCCTGTACCGTCTTCTCTTTACCTTTGCTGTGTTTTCTGTCTGGTGAATGAACTTCACATCAGGTGAAGGAAGTTGTGCTGCACTGCAGCCTTTGCTGGGGATGTTGATTGTGCCCTGGTTATTTGTGGATTTAGGTGATTTGGGATCTGGGAAAGATTTTGCTCATTATTGAGAGCCACTGGAGAAATGAAGCTCACGTTCTTGAGGTGGTAAGGTCTTTGCTACCTCCTGAAAGCTTTTTTTCTAACAAGTGTGCATCCACACTTAAGACAGGGGTAGGTAAGAGGAGTCTTTAGTCTATGCCTTCACTGACACAAAAGATAGCAAAATTCCACGTATGAGTGAAGACCAAGTTGTAAATTCCTACTCCTAGTGACAGAAACGGGTCTTGACTGCATATATCCTTCAGTCATTTGGCATCAGGGTGGCTTTCCAAGGTCATTTTGGCATAGAGAAAGCCTGGAGAATTCTGTATTTGGAGAAAAAAAAAAAGGTGAGATGTTCCCTTGTTGGACATAAAGGCTGAGTCTATTAAGCAGAGTCTCAAGCAAGTTACTATCTCATCAAGTACAACAAACAGAGTTGTAGCTGGAAACCACAAGAGGAAGGAAGCAGCCAGCATTTATGTAATAAGCTGCTTTTTAACTTCTGGCAGGCAGGTTGGTGTATATATGGTATGTTTGGGGCATTACGTGGTTTGTGTCTGCCAGCAGAGTAGGGAGGGAGATGATATTTAATGTAAGATGTTGCTGTGTTGCTATCTCAAGCAGGTGTAATGTGAAGCATGGTAAAACATACTGGAAGTTAGGGTGACTTTACGGCTCTGGTAATGTGATGCTCGGGTTAGTATTTTGGTCAGAGCAGAGGGATAGGATCTCTCCTGCGTCATAAATCTATCTGATAAAAAAGATGTGAGGATCTGTGGTAATACCACTTTGTCAGAGGAAGGGAAACATAGGTTTGCAAGAAAAGAAGTTTGCATCAAGTAAAGCCATCTGTGTGAGTGCGTTCATTGTGCTTTAAAATTAATAAGAATTTTCTTGGCAGTTAATGAACGTTTAAGAAGCTTAATTTGACATTTGAGAAGTTCAGTAAATAATTTTTCGTTCTTGATTAAGGCATCTTTTAAGCTGTCACTTGTACAACCAAGAATTGTCACTTTTTAACGCATTGGGATATCTTGTTGCATACTGATTCAGCTATTACTGCCTATTAAACAGTTTAGATTTCATGTGCCTTAATTTCCCCGCTCTTGATTATTTTAAGTAGCCTGCTTTTTTATAAAGACCATTTGTATTCCATAAGCATTTATTATATGTTCAAGGCAGACAAAATGGACACATTGAAATAGATCTCTTTGTATTTCTCTGACTTCCCCCACCTCCTCCCTGCAGTTACATCTGGGATAGTCAGTCCTAGTGCTCATCCCAAATGTTTACAGAAACTACCTCTTCAGGTAGTTTCAGCTTTGCAAAAATCAAAAGTTAAATATCTCACGGCCTTTTTTGCTTTGTCTCGAGTCACAAACAGTAGAGGTTGTTGGAGGTAGTTGTTTGTAAAGCAGTGATAACTCAAGGATGCTCAGCAGCTCATGGTAAAATTGGGGCCATTTCCCTCCTTTTTTTTTAATCCTCTGATCTGTGCACACAGGTTACCTTATTTTAACATTAATGGGGTTTATACCTGTGCAATGAGGGAATAATATGTTTAAAAGGCAATGCTTTGTGGCATGTCAGTGGAGGTTGTTCCTGTCGATGATTACTGTCAGGGCTAGTCTAAGGGTCATAAAAGGTGATCTTGACCTGGTTCAAATTTATGCATGTCCATCTCTATTACTGTTTCTTCAGTATATGTGATCTTGATTATTTGAAATGAAAATCTTGTTAGGTGTCAGCTAATAGAAGTGTCTTTAAAGAAAAAGTCACTGGATAGGGGTTTTTCAGTGCTGTAAATATGATGAGGGAGGTGGTTCTCAGTAACCAAGGTCTTTTGTCAGCAAAGCAGCAATAACTCTACACAGTAGTTGGCTACATCTAGGTAATTTGGAAGAGCTTTTGGCTCTAAAGCTTGGATGTCCCTGCCCTTTGCCATGTCTCACCTTATGTAAGCTGAAAAGCCTCATAAATATGTTCTTATCCATTGGCAAATGTCAGGGTTTCAGTAAGAAAGGTTGTCTCATAAGTGGCTTGGCATCCCCCCTAGTTACACTGCAAGACAGCTTACGTCTCATTGAGCTGCTTAAACTCATTTTTCTCAAGCAGGCCTGCTCCATTGTTCCGGGATTACTGAGCCCCTTTGGGGCCAATATATCATGTTAAAAAGCTGTTACACCTGGCTGAAGGGGAAAGAGCAAGCAACAAATGCTGTATGTACCTGGTATTTGGTTGCAGGGCTGATGTTGATCTTAAATGACTGATTAAAGTTTTGGCATGGTCAAAAAAACCTCCAAATTTGTTATTCATCATCTGCCTTTCATAGAGGAAAAATGGAAGACTGGGATCACTGCAGGTGGCATGGGCTTTGTTTGGGCCTCTTTCAGTTGCATTGCTGGGGCAGGGATCACACAGTCTCATTGGTGAACCCTAGCATGGATAGCATGGTCAGATCTGTGCTTCTACCAGGCATCATCCAGGCTGCTGCTCTTGAAAAGGACTACCTGTGTCTTCTGCTGGTACTTGCCACCCAGCAGCTGGACCTCTTGCAGCTCAGGAGTGGTTTCTCAGAACCACATAGGAAAATCAAGGCAGGCAGGATCCAAAGTGATGGGTCCAGAGCCCTGCCAGGTCCTTCATCTGTGTGACTGGTTTCTGCTGGTGTGACCAGCAACAGTATAATAGTCTGTGCAAGGCAGCTTACTCCATTTTGAAAGTAGATTGAACTACTTTGCTATACATACTATGCTAATAAATTAGGAATGTCCACTTAAGAACTAGTTTAGAGGACCTAGTGGGCTGGAAAGTTACATCCCAATTTACTATGCTGTAGCTTCCCTATGTTAGCAAATAAGGGTATATCTCAGAGCAATGTTCTAGAAATAAGTTAGTGAGCAGTAATTGGAAATCCTTTGTAGGAAACAGAAAATATAGAAGCGTTTATGATGATAAGAAAAAGTGAGAGGCAAAAAGTTGTTTTGACTGTAACCTGAATGTAGAGGTAAAACTTCCTAAAATGAAATCTAGCTTTTTCATCTATTTTTACATTTTAGTTTGTGTTGAATTCCAG